AAATGTTCTCCCAGTTGGTGGGGTTTCTCTTTGTTTTTGTTATTGTCTCTTTTGCTGTGCAGAAGCTCTTTAATTTGATGTAGTCCCAGCTGTTTATCTTTCTCTTCACTATCACTGCTTGGGTGATGTGTCTGTAAAGATGTCTTTGATGTGCAAATCCCGTAGTGTTTCGCCTATATTTCCTTCTATGTATTTTATGGTTTCAGGTCTTATGTCTAGTTCTTTAATCCATTTTGAGTTGATTTTTGTGTATGGTGTGAGGTAGTGGTCAAGCTTCATTCTTTTGCATGTAGCGACCCAGTTTTACCAGCACCATTTATTGAACAAACTTTCTTTGCTCCAATGCATAGTCTTTGCTCCTTTGTCAAAGATTAGTTGACCATAAATCTGTGGGTTTATTTCTGGATTTTCTATTCGATTCCATTGGTCTGTATGTCTGTTCTTGTTCCAATACCATGCAGTTTTGATGATTATGGCTTTGTAGTATAGTTTGAAGTCTGGGAGTGTGATGCCTCCATTTCCTTCTTTTTTTTTCAGTAGAGCTTTGGCTATTCGGGGTTTTTGGTGATTCCATATGAATTTCATCAATAATTGTTCTATTTCTTTGAAGAATGCCATTGAGATTTTGATTGGAATAGCATTGAATCTGTATATTGCTTTTGGTAGGATGGCCATTTTAATAATGTTTATTCTTCCAATCCATGAGCAGGGGATGTCTTTCCATTTCTTTGTGTCTTCTTCTATTTCTTTTAACAGTGTTTTATAGTTTTCTTTGTAAGAGGTAAAGGACCTATACAATATTATAAAAATCTTAATGGATGTGTGCTTTCTTCTCCACCTTTTGTGGGACTGAAGGTAAAGCATACTATTGGATAAAGTCTTTGTCTTCTCGTAGTCACATATTTTCCATAATTTCCCTTGCATAAGCCATTTAATAATTGCCTGAATCATTGTGACTTGTTATATTTTTGTAAGAAATATTTCCTTAATAATAAATGATAAATGTTATAGCGTTCTTATAGTCTCTATCTATGAAAGCAAATTCAACAGGATGTGCTGGTGACCCTTAGTAAGAATTTGAACTGCTTTCTGCAGTTGCTCTATTGCATTAATCTGAATTGCATTCATCTGCAATTGTGTGTTTATTTTGCTATTTCCTATGGCTTTTTTGCTGTCATCCCTTTTTTGTTTCTAGGTAAATATTTTTGAACCTATCTGTGTGACAAAAAGTGATACAAGTGATACTGCTGGACTTGCCGCCGAGTAAAAAGCATTGAGCATCAATGCTGGATTAAAATCGTAGAATTCATGGTAGATGAAGAAATCCAACACAGCAAAATGTGGAGAAACAAATGGTAAAGCTAATCAAGAAATTCAAAATTGTACAATCGCTTTGATGTGGGAGAGAGTATTTAAGACATACTGATGCTTGGGAATATTGACAAAGAACAAATTAGAGAAAATATGGCAACATGGAAAATCTTGACTATAGTGACTGACAAGTGTTAGAGACTCTCCAAAATGATTAAGTCCAGGAACCCTTTAGGAGAAATAATTTACCAGAGAATTTCTGGAGAACCAGGCAAAGCTTTATTAGAGACTTGTGCATGAGCAGGAACCAGTGCTAGAAAGAAGACTGGTGTTATATCAGTTTATTCCCACCAGTGTTGCACAAGGGTTGCCTTTTCTCCGTATCGTTGCCCATACTTGCTAGTTCTACTCTCTTTGATAGTCATTCTTACAGGTGGGAAATGTGGTTTTGATTTGCATTTCCATCTTTAGTGATGGTGAGCATCTTTCAAGTAGTATTATGTGTCTTCTTTGAAAAACTGTCTGTTTAGTTCTGCCCAGTTTTTATTCAGATTGTTCTCTTGCTATTAAGTTGTATGAATTTTTATATTTGGAGTATTAACTCTTTATGAGCTATATAATTTGCAAATAAATAATTAAAAATCCAAAAAGTCACATGAAAGGAGAATTTAGCCTGGCTTCTGGGAAGTTAGGGTGAGGTTTTTAAATGGTCAGTCCATGAGAAGGAGCAGGCAAGAGCAGCATCAGTACTTGTACTGGGTTGAGCTATGCCCGGGCGTGCACCAACAGGTTGCATTCCTACCGTGCATGTGGAGCTCTTGGCCTTGCCCTTCCAGGAAATTACGACACAATCATTAGTCAGGATTTAAAGCTTTTTTATCTAGCTTGGCTTCTTTTTTTTTCAGTCTGGTAGGCCAGACTGTATGGATAGGATGTTGAGCATGTGCCAGTTTGTATTTTGTCTACCTATTCAAACGGGACTTGGGACAACTCTTATCCCATCATCTCTCAATTTCTTTTACCTAGACTGTCTCCTTAGGGGAGAGTATTACCAGTATACATCGTGGCAGGAATAATGCTCCAAAAATACCAGTTCACTTATGAATTAATTTGACTCTCCATTTCCAGGACTGCAACCCCTGTGCTCTATGGAGCATGTATGAATTCATACTTCACTCCAATCATCTTTTCACTTCACATGAAAAATTCCCATTCTGATTTCTAGATATTTCCCATCTCCTGTCCTGTAGTTTGTTGTCTCTTACTACCTGCTTCATGTTACTCTTTGAACATTTTATTATTCAATTTCCGTATATCTGTCCTGAAATTATTACCTTACTCCTTGAAGCCAACCATTAAGAAGCTATGAGTTTGTCTCATACATATTGTAATCCCACAAATTCAGTGAATTTTGGAAAGTGGGTTTTGTACCTGTACCTGTACAAAATTGGGTTTGTACCTATACAAAAGTGGGTTTTGTATCTGTTTTTTAAAATAACTGACTTCTATAAACAATTCTCAGATTCTCTTTAATCTTTGCAGCTGACTTCTATTCCCAACACTTTCCAGGTCACAGATTGCCTCCTGGAAGACAGTTCTAACTATACATCTTCCTAATCTAGAGGATAGTAGAAATTAAAGACCTTGGCAGCTGATGTAATCATTTCCCCACTTTGTTACAGTCTTTCACTCCATAAAGTCCTTCTCAATCTGTGATCATATTGCCTAATATATTGAAAAGGCTATGACCCATTTAAGATTCTTTAATTATACAATTCTACACTCAAATAGAGTTATTACCCATTCTCTCTCTTTTTACCTCTTGACATTTAAGTGTCTCTGCTCTTTACTGACTCTTACTTCTTCAACTATGATTTTTCCTATGTGGGTTCCAGTTCTGTCAATTAAACCCCCCCTTTTTTTTAAATATTCATTATCTCCAAATCTAAAGATATTTTTCCCTTTCCTTAAAACTGCTATTTCTATTGACTATTCCAGTAGAATTTCCTTTTATCCATTGTATTCCTTAAGATATTACTGCCAATTTTCTTCACAAAAAAGATAACTATTTTTTCTTACTAAAACAATAGTCATTTATTATCTTGGTCAGAGAAATAATGAAACTTCAAATGTAGAAAAGGTCTGGAATGTTACCATATGAATTCAGATAATATATATATATATATATATATATATATTTGCTTGAATTTGTATTTCTTTTAAAAAATTAACTGACTTTTATAAACAATTCTCAGTTTCTCTTTAATCTTTGCAGCTGACTTCTATTCCCAACACTTTCCAGGTCACAGATTGCCTCCTGGAAGACATTTCTAACTATACATCTTCATAATCTAGAGGATTAGGAAATTAAAGTTGAAATTAAAGACCTTGACCCTAGAACAAATTTGAAATTGACAGTAAAGACCTGGGACTTATCCTTATTTAAATGATAGCTAAAGATTGTGGAGAGAGAATTTCTTGTTCAAACATCTTCTCTAGGTGGATTCCATTTCCTTACTCTTCAGGAGACACGAGTTCTCTTTGGGTGAGACTTGTCACCATATTCCTTCTATTATCTCAATTTCATTATTCTGTTTAATTTTCTAGATAAGTTCTTTTGACTTTTGTTCTTTAGAGCACATCTCTATTACTAGTAAAAACTAACAGTGGTAAAGGGAATCAATTTTCACATAAAGATTATTTTAAATGGAAAAAAATTAATTTTATCTGAACTTCCTTTGCCTGACTAAAGAGACTACCTAAAATATTAACTTCCTTTTAAGGAAATTCCCTTGCATCTTACAGAAAGGAGGCATGATGTCTATCTGGTAGCATAATAAAGCCCAATATAACTTTTCATATGTTCCTGTTGAAGTGCTAAACACCCCTCCCCAAACTTTTCCCCCTATAGTGTTAGGAGTTACTCTATATATTTACATGACTTTTGCCCATTATCTTCCTCAATTTTTTTTCCTTCTTCCCCACTATACATCAATTCTTCTCTTCCTCCTCTTTTTTATAAATACTTTTAATAGTTTGAGAACAGATATCTTTTTTTTAAGTTTTTTTTTTAAGATTTATTTATTTATGCATACAAGAGCTGGGGTACAGGCCAGAGGTGTGGTGGGTGAGATGATTGACCAGAAACAGAGAGGGGAACAGAATAGGTAGGCTGACTGAAGTACACTGCTGAGGGGAGCAGTGGTGAGCAGGAGAGTCTGCTGTGTCATACGGATTGCTCCCTGGGCAGTGGGGGGATTGAACTCGTGCTGCAGAGGCTGCAGGCAGCTTCACAGGTTGTGTCATAACCCCTCGTGACACCAGGGAGACCCAGAACAGATATCATCTTTACCATTCCACGTCTCTGAACACAATGAATTAATCATTTCACTGAAACTTCACATAAAAGTAAAAAATCATCTCTGATTTGCCAAATTCAACAAAAGAAGATCCAGAAAGAGATGGTGGAAATTGAATAATGTAAATTGGAAAAATAGAAGTGGACTTTCTAGTGCACTGTTTGTCCCTATTCTCCAGTAACAAAAACCATTTTGACCCAGACCCCAGGTCATTTTTATGATTTTATAAAGGTACAATGCCATTGATTGTGACAGCACAATTAGAATCATATTTTTAGAAATTTGAAGTTTGATCCAATAGAGAAATTGAACTTTCTATTGGTAACTTACCAAATATCATTCTGACAAAGCAAGGAAAATGAGTCAGCAGAAAGCAAGAAAAACATGAGAAGAATTTATACAGGGAGGGGATGAGGTGAGAGGTGTGTAGGAATTTTGGACTGTTCACACCTTTGTGCTTTTAGTAGATTCCAGAATCTTTGCTGAATTCCCATTCTTGAGCTTTGTGAGCAATCTCTAAATTTATTTTTTTTTGTATAAATCAGCAGGAGTTGGTTTCCATTAGTCTCAAATCAAATAGCCCTAACTAATTTTCAAAACATAATGTTAGTGGTCATCTGTACTAATTCAGTCTTGAATAGAATAAGAAAAAGCAAAATAATAATAATAAAATTGGTTAATGAAAGACTTTATCATTATGTGTCAAAAAGTACAGCTGATATATAGAAACTCATTTAGCAGCAACTAAATGTTTAAAAATAATATTTTGCAAAGCAGTTTACTATGATAGTGAAATAAGATTATAAACAACTTTAAATAGATCCTAAAACTTTAGAGAAATCAGAATCGTGAGTTTGATAAATACACATTCCTACGTTCTTTCCCACAGTCTCCAGTTCACTATATCTGCTATATATCTGCTAATTCAACTAAGTAGCACAAGATAACTTTAGTTCTTACTTTGAGAATAGGGACTATGTATCAGTGCCTGCTCCAACTCACAATTTACGCTTGAATGAAGGCATTTCTTCTAATACATGGAACAGCTATTTTAACTTTTAGTCTTTAGAATCATTTTAAAATTTACATTTTTGGGGGGCCTCCCCAGTGGCGCAGTGGGTTGAGCGCCACACTGTGGAGCTGTCCACAGCCTCTACACCATGGGTTCAACTCCCGGCCGGCCAGGGAGATTCCCACATGGTGCAGCAGACCTTTCCTGTCTCGCCTGCTGATCCCCTCAGCAGTGCTTTCGGTCTGTCTGCTTGTTCTGCTCCCCACTCTGTCTGTGGTGAATCCTCTCACCCTCCCGCGCCTCTGGCCTATATCCCTGCTATTGTATAAATAAAAAATAAATCTTTAAAAAAATTAAAAAAAATAGCTTTACATTTGTAACATGTTAATGATTTGTTATATGTGCTATTAAGTGTTTTATAGTAGGAAACCTATCCTGAGATGAGCTATGTGAAGAGATTTTAAAAACAATAGGTAAGCAAATCTTAACAAAAGATTCCCAGCAGTTTTCTCTTATTTTGCTTCAAGGCAAACATACTAGCTAATAAAGGTTATTTTAATGATTTCAGTTTGACTTTAGGCTGTTCAACCTACACCACTATGGAAAGATGATGTTTTTGGAGCCATTTTTTTTTTTAAATGGGGCTGTGCAGCCATTGCAGAGAACTGCATTACCTGTCTTGTTTGAACTAAACCAGAGACATTTACACTAGGCCAAAAGCAATTGTTTACGAAACCATCTAGCAAGCAGTTGTTCAGAGGTCACCCTGATTAGGACTGATGATTATGGACTTTTTGCTCTAGGATAGAATCAGTTTCTTTCTTTTAACACTCACCTTATCTTTTCTCTCCATAAAACCCAACTTTATTCCTGCTGGGAGCACATTTTAGGTTTCTACCTGAATCTGTGCCCTAAATTGTAATTCTTTGATGCTACAAAAACACTCTGCCTTATAATGGCATCCTAAATTTTAGGTTGATACCAACTTTATATAGATTTTTATATT